TACAGATCGAGCTGCTGTAATACAGATCGATATTTGGTCTTGTTTTGAGAAAATACAAAAAGTCGTGTTTTATTCCAAATAACATTGCTTATTACTGTCAGTATTCTTAATTATAAATAAAACAATTCAACAACGTCGAGAAAAACTTTGATCTTTTTTAAAGTGAAGCCACATTTGACTATTTGCTATGTCCACCACGGGGAATCGAACCCCAGATTTCATCGTTGTAAGTCCATAAAGTTACCGCTGTCGCATCGGGTACAATCTTCGATATGTCGAACTTTCGGATATTATTCCCCCAAAAAAAGAAATATTTAAAAAAGTGGGTAGGGGAAGGTGGGGTAAAACGGTCATATTAAAAACATGGTGGAGATGAATATCATGAAAAAGGAAAAGGGTTTAAATTAACTCTTATTTATTGTTGAGAAAAAAATTGGAAATAGACCTTTTTTTAGATATTTACTAAATGCACTGTTTGGAGTTTAGAGCTATTTTATATATAAGGTTGGATAAATGGACCCTCGTCCTCCTGTTGATTAGCGGAAGTTAACGGACTTGCAGTGCTACAATCCTAGGTTCTATATCAGAGTGCGGACAGCCTATTGCATAGCTTCTTGCTGAAATAACATCAAACAAATATAATGGACCTAGGAGATGGGATAAAATGTCTCTCATCTAACTCGTAACACAACCAAAGTTGAATATATGATGTATTTAGCAACTGTATAAATCACTTAAATTATCAGTTAAAAGCTTCTGGAAGTCACTAGAAAGCCGTGCACCATGTGCAACTTGGCGTTATCTAGGGCAATGGTGCAAAATAACATGGGTAGCAGTATGGGGTAAGACCCCATGATACTTTCAACCACTCATCAAAAACCAATTGCAAGTTATAGAAAATGAGTGAACTATGTTTTTTTACGATATATTCGATTGTCTATAATTCATCATTGTTTTAAACCAATAAACTGAAACTCGCAGAAATATCTTCTTTGTAACAATAAAAATTCAAAGTAGTTAAATCTTATTTATTTGTTTTCAAAAACAAACAAACAATTTGAAATTACGCTCTGAACATTCACGTTCATACCCGTCTGCCAGTGAGTTACATGAACAATATTTACAATCCGTCTACCAGTGAGTTACATGAACAATATTTACAACCCGTCTACCAGTGAGTTACGTGAACAATATTTACAACCCGTCTACCAGTGAGTTACATGAACAATATTTACAACCCGTCTGCCAGTGAGTTACATGAACAATATTTACAACCCGTCTGCCAGTGAGTTACATGAACAATATTTACAACCCGTCTACCAGTGAGTTACGTGAACAATATTTACAACCCGTCTACCAGTGAGTTACATGAACAATATTTACAACCCGTCTACCAGTGAGTTACATGAACAATATTTACAACCCGTCTCCAGTGAGTTACATGAACAATATTTACAACCACTTTGCCAACAGAGCCTGCAGACTACCTACCGGTCCTGCCTAAGCAGCTTTCACTTGACACCGCAGACTCACCAATGACTGGTATTTTGAACAAGCCAGTACACAACCAGTGGTCTGTGGTCCACACTAGAAAATCACTACTATAAATGACAGTACATCATAACTAATGGTATACCCTCATACTTCATATTACAAAATATAATATAATGATTAAAAAAGAAAGGGATGATATACTTAACAGAAAAGTGTACTTTTATTAAATCCTGTGTAATTTAAATCTTCTGATTGTAAAGTTAAGTTTGTGTTTTCTTCTTGTACGCACTCGGGTATTCGAACTTCTCTGAATGAACTAATCAGAGCCTTGTACTCGCGAAAACGTTTCTTCCGCAACTCCAAAATTGCAATTTCCCTGTTTCACTGTACGGATCACCCAAGACTTCCAACAGAAACTCAAAAATGAGCTGCTAAGCCTACAACCAGAGAGCTTTCTATTTACTTTTGACGTGTTTTCTTGTATAAACGGATAACATATATCATTAAAGAAGTTAGACTATTGTTTGATTTAATGGAAGCGGTTATTTGTCGTATTCTGTGCAACCATGGTAATATTGTAACAGCATCTATTCGTGTTATTTCCGTGAAATAAGAACCCTACCTCAAAATTGTGTTCTGTGATACAGAAATGATTGTTGCATATATCACACTTAGTTTTCAGTCTCAGTCTTGAATACCCAAAGTGTGAAATTGATTATAGATTTTTTGTGGTGCCATTCAATAGATGGCGCCACATTGTATTTGTTATTTTGGACATATACATATATACACGCTACGTCCATTATAGTATGATTGCATATTTGATATTTGTAACAATGGAATAGAACACTTGTTCAAATTACACGACTACTTCAATAAGCTACATCCCGAAATTAAGAAAACAAGTTGAAACCTGGTTTTTAGACATTCTCCTTACATTGAAATATAGCAGAATATATGAATCCATACACAGGGAAGAAATCAGCAATCCTACACCATCAGTCGATTGTGGAAAAACAACTTACACAAAAACAAACAAGTAGGAAGAAACGGCTACTCGAATATCATATAACATACATTTTCAATTATTTAAATAAAAAGGAAGAAACGATTAGTGAGAGCACAGTAAATAACAAGAAAAATTTGACCGTGGAATACAAGGATTTTCCAACTAAATGGTTTATATCAGCAATGAACTGATTATGCAGTTACATACAGGAGG